GACCTCCGCTCGACACGAAGCAGGGCAGCGGCGGCGGAGCTCGGTGCGTCGTCTCGCTGGAAGACGAACGGGACTGCGGCGGCCGGCGCTAGTTCACGAATCCGCGCGAGGCAGAGGCCCCGGACGAGGCGAAGCAGGGGAACGAGCCCACGGCGCGGCGACGGAAGCTCCTGCACGTACCTAGTACAGATACGGGGAGGGAGTTGAGAGAGAGGAGGAGAAGGGAACGGGAAGGAGGAAGGGTAGGGGCGACGGGGATGGCCTGGCATGGTCGGGTCGTCGGTGTGCTGGAGAGGAGCTCCGGCGAGTTGCTGCGGGGCTGAGGGGAGAGGGCGCCTTGGATCGGGAGGAGCGGTGACCTCGAGGGAGCGAGAGGTTCGCGGGGTCTCTGCTTGCGGGAGGATGGGAGCGAGGCTTCGGGCGTGAACGGCGCCGGGGATGGGGATGGCGCGGGCATGGCGAGAGACGGGCGGATCCGCGGGCGCGTCCAGAGTCGGTGAGGGAGGTGGAGGGATTTGGTTGGTCGATGGATGAATTAGAGGAGAGGTGGAGGATTGGCTGCGGGATCAGAATGGATCCCGAGGAAGACGCGGCGGGTGGCGGCGTGAAGGGACAAACCTCCTAATTTCTAGGGTTTGATCAAATTAGGTAGATCTTGGTCTATATATAGAGAAAGGAGGGAGTTTTGGATCGTCTGATCGAGATCGGATGGCTACGGGTCAACGGAGTAGTCAAATGAAGAAACGGAAGATGCAGGAGGTTGTTCGGGGTTGATCCGGATCCGTTGGTAACGACAGAGCGGGTCGGGTTCGGGACAACTCTCGGACGCGTGCGAGGGGTTCCGAGAACTGTGCGGAGAGGGGGTCTGACAAAAGGCCACGGAGGCAGGGGTTTGATGGGCTGGTTTAGAGTGGAAGTGGACTGTGCAGAAAGCCTTGGGCTGAGAGAAGAGAAGAGAGAGAGGCCCGGCGACTGTTTCCAGAGGCCGAAAACGTCCGAGGATAGACCGGCTATACTGCCGCTATAGTTATCCGTTGGGCTATCAAACGAGCTCCGAATGCGATGAAACTTGGCAGGCGGCCTACTGACAACAATACAACACCGCATGCCAACTTTCAACTCATTCCGAGAACATTTTCCGGCCACTTATAAAATAATATTTCAGACATGCCGCGGGCGCGTGCGAGTGTGTCTGGGCTCAGAACGGACAACGGAAGGAACGGGGAGACCCAGACGAATGCAAGTTTTGAAAACATGATGATGCAAATGCGCATGATGACATGATGAAATGCAACACGCAAGCAAATGACATGGCAACGGCAACGAATAACTGGAAGACACCTGGCGCAACGGTCTCAGGGCGTCACACCCTCCTTGGGTGTATCCATCATGTACACGTCATGCGAAGAGGTGGCCTTCCAACGTCCAGTAAACGGCGGGTTTTGGGCCTCCTCTTCTCCGGTATCGTCGTCCATACCGTCAATGTTTTCGGAGTCGTAATCGAGCATGTATGTTAAGTCCTCGACAGTGGCTATAAAGTGGGTGGTGGGTGGGATGTAAAATTCCTTGCTCTCAGCCCCTAGTCTGGGCCGGGCGTAGTTTGGGCATTGCTCCTCTATAATCACGAGGGATCACATCAAGTCCAGAGCTTCGCTTAAAGGCAAGGTTTGCTCAGGGAGAAAAGAATCTGTGGAGTATGGTGGGAAGGGAATTCCTCGGCCGAGCTCACACGACGCTGACTCTGAGAGTTCGAAGCCGGTATCCGGGGAAGGGTCCGGCTTTGTGATGGTTGTCGGTGACATTGCTTCCTCTGGCTCTCCCGTACTGGGCCTAGTGGCCACAGATATTCCCGCGGGTTTAGAAATTCCGTCTTTGGTCCTAGCGAGGCGCTTCGGCTCTAAGGCCAGAGCGGAAGTTGGGGTCGTGGATCCTTGGAAGATCAAGTCTCCTCGGATATCAACGACATAATCCAGATTTCCAAAACTAATCTGGTGCCCTGGGGCGTAGCTGTCGATTTGCTCTAGATGGCCAAGCGAGTTGGCCCGCAGTGCGAAGCCGCCGAATACGAAGATCTGGCCGGGGAGAAAAACCTCCCTTAGGGCAGTATCGTTGCAGATGATGGATGGAGCCGTCGAACCTTCTGACGGTGACACAGTGGAATTCTCAATGAAAGCACCAATGTCGGTGTCAAAACCGGCGGATCTCAGGTAGGGGGTCCCGAACTGTGCGTCTAAGGTTGATGGTAACATGATACAAGGGACACGAAGTTTTACCCAGGTTCGGGCCCTCTTGATGGAGGTAATACCCTACGTCCTGCTTGATTGATATTGATGAGTATGGGGATTATAAGAGTTGATCTACCACGAGATCGTAATGGCTAAAACCCTAGAAGTCTAGCTTGTATGATTATGATTGCCTCTATGGACTAAACCCTCCGATTTATATAGGCACCAGAGGGGGCTAGGGTTGTACAAAGTCGGTTACAGAGAAAGGAATCTTCATATCCGAACGCCAGGCTCGCCATCCACGCCAAGGAGAGTCCCATCCAGACATGGGAGAGAGTCTTATGTCTTGTATCTTCACGGCCCACCAGTCCGGCCCATGTCCAATAGGTCAGACGCCCGAGGACTCCTTAATCCAGGACTCCCTCAGAAGCATCGCGGAAGCGGTTGTCCACCGTCACAGCAAGACATAGCAGCAATTTGTCATCGTTGCTGCACAAATCGCCGCCCGCCGCTGCCGCCGTCGTAGCCATGTTGCTGCAAAACACAGGGGTTGTGGGTGCGACGGGGCACACTAGAACCTTGCAGCCGAGGTGACCGGAGTCATCCTCCCCGGCCTTGCAACCCCATGCTGTTGTGGTGGCCGGTGTCGCCCTTGTCCTTTTTGCAGCCGCAGCCCGAGGAGAGGATGCAACAACGATGTGGTTTACGTCATCCTCTCTGATTTTAAACATTGATGGGGTTGGGCGGAGGATGAATCAAGGCGGCGGCCGGCGGCAGCCCTGTCGATTTTCTAGCTGGTATGGTGGTCTTCGCCATGGGTCCTCTCCCCTGGTCATCAGGATGAATGAGATTGGAAAGGGGATGGAAAGAAGGAACATGTGGAGGAGACAGCTTCGTCCTAAGGTTGGGGGAAGCGGTGGGCTGCCTGACGCGGGCACGTGGCGCGCAGAGGAGGGGGTTTACGAGATGAGAAAATCAGTCGGTAGATTTAGAGACTTTTCCTTTTTCCTATGACTCAAATAAGAAGAAAAGAAACTATGAAAACAAAAGTCTTCAAGCTTCAAAGTCTTCACGTCAATTTCTTCAAAGGTCGTACCAATTTCATCACCAAATTCTTCACTTGAAGAAATCCAATTTTGAGGGGTCATCTTCCGTGTGTTAAACCAAATCCTTAGGGACTTTGTTTCCTATGTATACTCACAAACACATTAGTTCCTCAACCTATTTATCTTCAGTACTCCAAAATCATTAAGGAGGCACTTGATGCACTTACAGCCAAGCCAGACGCGGTGCGACCCGGACACAAGCTCAAGCCCAACACCAATGTGGTTGGGCCAGACTGGGTTTAATGAGGCCCAACCCCATGATCGGCTACTTATGCTCTCTCCTGCTAAGTGTAAAACCATCGAGTGGATCAACGGAGAAACGACTCGGCGGCCACGAACCCTAATCCCCTTCCTCCTCTATTCGTCTCATTTCTGTATCCCAGTTGTAATCGGGACTTGATGCACTATTGTTAAGTGAGAGAGAATAGATCGGTCCCCACCTTCTCCTCCCTAACAAGTTATATATTAGTTTTAGACTTTTAGTTATGCTTTATCGCATGTAGGCGATTAACATTTTGGTCCGATTTGTATAAAAAAACTTGTTGTCCCCGATCTACATGTTTGCTATTGCTAGGTTGAGGTTTTATCTACGTAAAATGTTGATCACCGTTGCTAGTGGTGTATGGATTTGGGGGCGGATAGGAGGACTAGTGTGGAAGCAGGGAAACGTTGAAGCAGATAAATGAGGGGGCTGGGGTTAAATTTGACCAGTCCATTGTAGATGCTCTTAACTTGGATGTAATTTTGTGTCTGGTGTGATTGTCCAACGAGCGACATGTCAAACCAGTAGCGAGACAGCTAGGGCCAATGGCTGGCAGAGACTCCGTGGTGTACCCACGAGTAAACAGGAAGCGAAAACGCACTCAGCCCAGACAAGAGAGTGTGCATCGGCCTGCTTCTCCATTCCCATCCCCCTTCCCGTCTCCGCCGAGCGCCCCCAAAGTCAAAGAAAACCACGCTGCAACTTGCTAACGAATTCCATTGCGTGTGCTTCCCGTCCTCCCATCCCCTCCCCCCTCCCACCACCTCCGCTCCCCCGCCCGCGCCAATCCTCCTAAATCCACCGCCGCCGATCCGCCGAGATGGACCGCAGCAGCAGCAGCAATAGCGGCGGCGGACACAACCCGCACCTCGGCGTCA